AGGTCCGCACACGTGTGCTCAATCCGCCATTTTCGCTTTATACGTTATAACCTTGTCAATTATATCGCGCAAAACCTCGAAAATCGTGAAAAATATCCCTTTATTAGCTACTCTGGAATACAAAAATGATAGTAAAGAGACTCTACTGTTATATAAATTAACAAAGTGTTACAGACACTATTGGACGATGCACGTGACTTTTAATACAAATACGTAGTCCTTATCTATATACCTACTCAAACTTGAAAGCCCTTCGCCACCCTTTACTTATCAAATGTCTTAGAACCAAACCGATCGATATTTCGTCGCTGATAAACCACGTTTAACCAAAGTTGAATATGCGAAGGACGGAAGAACTAACGAATAAGTCTAATTTACGCTCTCTTAAATATTTCAATGTGTAAAACAAATTGGTGAAATAAATTCGTGAATTCTTTGCAGTGCACGCGGGAGTTGTGTCTTTATACTCTAAACAGTTATTGCTGTGATTGCCCGATGGGCAATTACATTGAATAATTAAATTTACATATCGAACAGGAAATCACCATTATTTTTGTGAGAAGTGACAGTAGTCGTTTAAATGTATGGGAATGGTTTTGGATTATAAAGTATATTTATTAATTGGGTCACTTGGGCCACTGGGCCACTGAGGATTTAAAGGATACTGTAACGTGCTGGCCCGAAGGTTGGGTGGTGTACAAACCTAGTTAAAATTTCGCTTTTCGAATCATATAGTCAATCATTCTACACATGCAGTGACCTGCGGGTCCAATATAATAAACGCATTCAGGGTTCCGTGGGGCTGCCGCATTAATGCAGTGCTTCGGGGATGTTTGTACGTCTCGTACGCGGACTAGTATGCTATAATGAGAAGACGTCACTCCTCAATGCTAGCCGCCTCCGCGGTAACACCAACGGACTCCTGAGTGTTCAGAGACCGGTGGAACTCCCAAAGTCACAGCATTGAATGCTTAATTGGAATTGTAAATTAAGTTTTGCAGTTTGGTTTACATTATTATTATTTGTATGTATACATACATAAACATTATGTAGGCACATATTCAAACACTACACTCATAACGCAAACAACACACACACACAGACAAATACGAGCGCGCACGCAAACACACACGCACACGCATCTACTTCGCACGCTAACACTAAGTACTGTCTAGACTTAGTTTTTAATTTTGTTCATTTATTTTGTTTTAATAAATTTAATCATCTACTCATCTATTCCTTATTACTTAGCAATTAAGTAGGTATCATTATTCAAGGGATGGGGCCTGGTGATTTGTAATACAGGTGAAATACCTACATCAAGCACCAGTTCTCACAATATGCTACCGTAACGTATCTACTAAGATTTACATTGTTGTATTTTGTGGTGAAAAACAAACATTATTATTATTGAGTCCACACCAGAAACCAATACTTATTATTATTATTAATTACTAGCTATTCGGAGTATTTATTCTGCGCACAAGAAATATTTCGAATAGCCTACTATATTATATAAATTTTCATAGTTTTATTGGTTCTCCATACAATCCTTCGTGCCCTATTTCACTCCCTTTATTTTTGTAACAAAGAGTAGCCTATGTCCTTCTCCTAGGTTCCATCTATGTCTGTACCAAAATTGCGAAAAAATTACGACGAAGCTTACGATTTTAGACTACATCGTGACTTGAACATAGAGGCAGCTACAAGATAGTACAATACTACAAAAACTACACCTTTTGAGTTAATGTAGTTAAGTTATAGTGAATAAAATAAATATTAGTGCCAGTGTTAATTAGACTATGAACACGTGAACAAAGTGTCTTTCCATCAACTAGTACTAAAAGATATTTTGTCGATGAATAACTTCTTTATATGTTAGGAAAATATCTTAAATAAAATTGCTAATAAACGACTAAAACAATAGCGATAGAAAGACTAAAAAAGTCTTGTACAAAAAAAAACTACATTGTTATTAGTTAATTTTGGTGTAATTAATAAATTTAATGATATTTTGTCGTAATAATTTGTTTCATTTAGTGCACATTTATTGTACGAAATCGGAACTTTTATATAAAATCGCTATCTGGCAGCAAACCTTTAAAATCTCTATTTTATTCCTTTTATATTCTTTCCTTTGAAGATTTCTCGAGCGACGCCATTCACAATGCCTTATTGATTTTGTCTAAACAACAGAAGGCGCAGAAGCCAGGCGCTTATTAAAGCTACGATATTAAATACAGGGTATTATTTTATACTTTTGTTTGCTTTGTGATTTTTCCAATGAAAAAAGAACCCTGTCGGAAAAGATGAAAGAAATCAACAAAGCGACTTGTAATCTTAAAAACGGAATCAGTTTGACGAATGATACTAATAACGTTGCAATTGTTTTTACTTTTCTGAACATATGTGAATATGAGATCTTATTATCTGAAAATTGCTATGAGGGTGGAATCTCTTAGATAATAAATAGTTTTTGTTTACTGTTTTTCTCTATTCATTATTTTTATTTTATTTTTAATGTTAAGTTTTTGACGCTTATACGCCTGTAATGCTATAACGTACTGTATAAAAAATTATATGACAAAACAGTGCAAGTATCTCTTACACGTACGTTTTCATGGTGTATATAAATAAATAAATAAATAAAAATATCTGTTTACGTAAGTTTTGCGTCTCGATGGCTATGCGCACGCGGTTTGAAAATATCGCGATGAGAGCTAATTTGCCTTTGTAACCGTCACGTTTCGAGTGGTCCTCCTTTGCTAAAACAGTTTTCAAAAAGTTTTTTTACGTGGGAAAGATCGTAGATACGTGTAGTGTGGTGCCTAATTTAAATGTGCTGAGCGGCTGGTGTTATGTAACTTTACTGTATTAGTTTTATATATTTTCTGTGATAACAAATAATAACTAAGAGGCATAATAAATAACGACATTATAATACACTAATCAAAAGTGTCAGTGTAGGAATAAAACACGTTTTTGCCAATTACTGAAAATCATATTTGAAAATTAATCTTCTTAACACCGCTGTTTTTTTGTCTATTTCATATTTTAATAAATTTATATATAAAATTTAATTTTAATAGTGTAATCAAATAATTCAAAAAATACTTCGATCCCTAGACCCTTTTAATGTAAACTGCCTCCGTGGCCGAACGGTTACCATGCCGGACTGCCACGCAGAGGTCCCAGGTTCGATTCCCGGGCCGAGGGAAATAGTTGTATGGATTACAATTATTTCTCTCGTGAGTTTGGGTGTAATTTGTGGTTGTCTATATGTGTGTCCATGGCACCCGCGACACAGGGTTTCCCTAGTGCGGGGCTATGTTGAGTGTGTGCGTTATTTATTATATATATATTATTATTAATGTGTGTATAATAGAGCCAGCTTTTTGACCACCTTGTCTCGGGGACCCAAATTTATTCATACAATTTATTTCATCCTAGTTTTAGTTTCTAGTATTTAAGCTTTTATTGTATTCTTATATCTTATCTGTCTAAATTAAAACTATAATTAAATTTATGACTATATGAGTTTATTATAGTATACACGTAATAAATAACTATTGACACGGGGATCATTTTATTTTCACCACATGTTTTTTTAATTTCCCATAATCGTAAAATGAATACTTTTATATTCAAGTTTATTATTAATTGACAATATTAAATTTATTTAAAAAAACTTATTAAGTAAAAATTCAATTGTTGTCAATTAGAATGTATATAAATCTTTTTTTTTAAATAAACAGCTTGTACGTTCATTAATTATACCCTGTATATGTGCGGTGCTAATTCCACACAATAGTAAATTAAAATAAGCCTGTTGAGGACTTTAGTATAGTTCTTTGACATAAGGTTTTTTTCGCAGTTATTTCGTATAACGTAGTCCACCATCTGGTATGTAAAAGCCAGGTTAAAACCAGGCTATTCCTATATTATCATTTACAAATAAAAATTGCCTAACTTCCAGTTTTACGCACATTCAAATTCCACTCTAATTGGCACTGAAACTCCAAATTGAAGTTTACTGGACGCTCACTTGCTCAGGTCATTTGATTGACTCTCAAATTTAACGATTCATCACAAAGGGCGTTAGATTGAATCGGTTTGAATGTACCACATTCAACTTGCAGTATTTTATTCTAACACAAATACGGCAACGTTCCTGTTAACCGTGTTGTGACAGGCCTGCAATGGGTGTACTCATGTAAGTCAATAGGCTCTGTGTCGCCGGTCCATTCAACTACTCCATTATTAATAGGGACGAGGAGTCACAACCTGAATTCACTTCAATGACTGCCTCGCATTTCGACGCTATAAAGAATAATCCAGACTAACCCTACAAGCCGACCCAACGCTCCAAACCACGAGCCTCCCATTCTATCTTATATCAACCAACCGAGAGAGAAAGGGACGACTTTATTTTTGACTGCAAGTCGCCTATTCATTAGTTATTATACGCGGGATGAATTGACATCTGGGACGGGGAAGGCACCCGTTCTTTCCCTTCTGAGGTTTCTATAAATTCAAGGGATCTAGTCCATTTAAATATGGGATATTGTTGCGGTCCCTTACATATTTAATGTTGATAAAAATGCTGCAGTCTGAAATGTCTTTGCAATTCCTTCTTGCCAGAAAAAACGAAGCAGTGCGAAAGGAATTAAATTTATAAGGAAAGAAAATATTATAAAAGCTCTTTTCATGTCGATGGCTATCATAATTATGAGAGGCAGTATCTTAATTACTCGAAGATTATGAAATTCGCTTGGAAAATTGTCAATTCGCTTATGCTACAACGCAATTTTGGGTATTAAATTAATGTATGATATTTTTGCCAATTAAAAAAATAATATTACAAAATATCTTCAACATAAATACGAACAGTTGTGGAAGCTATAACTGTTCATAATGCTACAAAAACGGAATAACTTCTTGCAGATAAACGATGGTTCTTAATGGTGCGATTATAATAAGGCCGTAATATTTTAACTCACCTAATGCGGAGCTGGCCATCCTCATTGTCTGGACTTGCATATCTTCTGGAGATCCTGGGGCTGCCTTCCTTTTCCTCGGTCGGCCTTTGGAACCAGGCGCCCCAGTGTAGTACTGCGATGGTGAATCTCCTTCACTATGAAGATCTTGACAACTGAGAAACATGTCATCATCATCAACCTATTTATACGTCTTACTGCTAGGCGTGGTTCTCTTCTCATTCAAGAGTTTATCAATGCGGGACTTCACACGTTTAACCCACGAAACATGTAATATCGACTGTGAACTGGCAATCGGTACTATCTCAATTTTGACAATTTTACAGGAAGAAAAACATTGTTTTCGTCATTCACGGTCGATATGTATAAAACCGTAATAATTTAGATATTTCGACTTCTTAGGTTTTCGCGATACACAGAAACTGAAACTATTTTCCGGAATTTAAACTGCATATATTTGTTTTTTCAAACAAATCGTTTCGGGTCTTTTACAAGTCCCAGTCAACCGTGACCGTGGGACCCGTAAATGGTCCGAAACGTTTAGTTCGAAAAAAACAAATACAAGCCATTTAAATCCAGAAAAATTTGTTTCATGTCATACATTTAGATATTATTATTAACCGAAACAGTCCTAGGGTAGCCGTCGATTGATATGAGGAAGCCATCATTCGTCAGTAAACAACAGTCATTATTATCAATCAATATTAAAAATTCTAAATTTTTCAACTCACCGGTAGATGCTACTCATGTCGTCTTCACAAAATTCATCCATACATGCGCTGTCGTAGTGCGGCCGACAATACACCATACCGCCTCTCATCCCGAACACATCTCCTTTCGATAGTAGTGTGCCACAGGCTACGCAAGTGAAGCAAGTCAGGTGGTACACAAGTTCCCGAGCTCGCATGACGAGCTCATTTGCCGTGATGCCATTTCCGCAGCGAGCGCACCGTTTCACGCAGAATAATCTGCAACAATTGACAACTATTATGACGAACTACAAAAACAGTATTGAAGTCTGCTATATATTCTGCATTCAGTTTGTTTACACCGATACGATGAAACCAAATATTGTCGTAAATATAGTCGTAATTCAAATAGCGAATGGTAAAAACACGATTTGATATAGGATATGAAACTATTTTTCCGGATTTAAATATTATTAATTGTTTTGTATAAAAAAAATCCCATCATTCGCGAGATTCATTCAGCATTTTATTTTTGTTTTCAATTAGTTTTTTTCAATTCCATCATCAGTAATATTCGGTTTCAATTTTTTTTCCGAAATAACGTTTCTTGGAATTTTAGAACTAAGTGATGAATTAGGTTTAGCGACAAATAGACGTAATTCCGCGAACTTTTGAGGTCGGTTTTTTAAAAAAAAAGTAATAATTACATTTCATAAACGTGTTCTTAGATTTTCGCGATTGTTACACATAGGAAATGAAACAACTTTTTCGGATTTTTTTTTTCAAACAAACCATGTCACTTGGTCATGGTTAACATGGTTATTTGAAAAAACAAATATACGCGATTTAAATCCGGAAAAATAGTTTCATTTCGTATACATTACGTAAAGTTAAAATATTTTTTATTTATCTTTATCCCTTTCAGGAGCTCAATTCTTACCGTGCTGCTCAAGTTCATACCGTTGTCAACATAGTATATAAAAGTCGTTGTGTGTGGCACATGTGAACCTGTATTTGTAACTCCGTGCTGGGGTGAGAGAATTTTATATTTTCGTTTAGTTAATAATTTTAAGTTACAATAAAGTTTCACTGACTGTACCCTACTTTGACAGCTCCATTTCCCTGTATTTAAAAACAGAGACATTTAGAAAATCAATCATTTTGGGAAAAGGAGGTCATTCTGACCAAACCAGCCGGAAGGGTATTTTTTCGGTACCTAATTTTTTTAAAACCAACTGACAGGACGAACAAGTGAAAATAATGCGAAAATAAATGATTTGGACCTAGTCTGTGACACAGGAACAAGAAAACTTGTCACTTTTTAGTACCAGTATACCTAGGCGACTTTCTCGGTTATCGCAAGTTCGGGTGAGACCGCAGCGGTTTACTGTAACAAGACGTGTCTCTCGACTTCACTAACGTATTTTGACACAAACGTCAAATGGGCAAGCTTTCATGATACGGTATGGCCAAAGGCGAGTGGCAGCATCAGAGCTCCTTCTGAAAGAGTTCGTCCAGGGAAGTACTGACACCTTACCTAGTTCTTACTGCGTTCCGGTTACGAAGGGTGCTAGTAAAATTACAGACACATTTGACTTGTCAAACATTATCTAAGGACGACAGGCGCAGCGGCAGTGTCCCTGAGATCTTTGCGATTTAAGGCGTACACCATGCCACCAGCACGCCTAGGCTACTTCGTACGACGGTGGCAAGGTGCTGTCTGCACACACGCAAATGTGTGTGTGGCAGGGTTATCCATCACTTCCTTGAACTATTATTTTTTGGTTTAACGTGCACACTGACTTTGTAAGAGTACATGAATGTATTGTAAGTATATGTCAATAATATGATCAATAATCTCAGTACAGAGGACTAAAAAACCGACCTCAACAGTACGTGGAATTACGTCTATTTGCTAACTTTTATTGAAATATCCCCTAGTTCGCCACTATGCAGGACTTGACACTGGAGATAATAAAAATCGGTTCTCACTACTCAAAGTATATTGAGAGAAAAACGCCTTGGATTGAAGAAATAGCAAAATGAATCATTAAAGTGATTGCTCCTAAATTAAAGTTAGGCGCTATTTATAAAAATGAATCTTCATGCGTGAACAGCCACCCTTCGTGGTGGATGATTTTTTTCAAATTGAAATGGGACCTTTCCAACAAAAAAAGAATCATGAAAATAGGTTTACAAATACCGGAGTTATCGCGTAACATTCATACAAAAAAAAGAACATACAGTCTAATTGAGAACCTCCTCCTTTTTTGAAGTCGGTTAAAAATAGCAAGCAGACGAATGTATTTTTTTTTATAAAACTGTCCATATATTTTATTAATTAAGATAATATACAGGTAAGGTAAAAAAGACAATAAGAGCTTAACTACTAGAAAGTAAAATTAGGATTTTTAAATTATATGAATAAAATTGGGTCCCCGCGGCATGGTGCCCAAGATGCTGGCAGCATTCCCCCTTTGTATTGCTATGCTAATGCGTTGGGCAAGGTATCTGCCGGCCCTTAGGTTTCCCAGACAGTCTATTAATTTTTTCTATAAAATTTTGTACAAATGAAGGGTACTGGGACCCCACGGACCAAGGGTTTCGACTACAAAGTCTGTAAATAGGTAGTCGGAGCCGAGACTCTGGTACTTATTACTTTTTATTCTTTCCGCCAGCTCAGCTGCGGAGCCAGCCCTCTTGCTGGTGTGCTGGAGATGGGATGAGGCAAGTGTGTCGCCACATGTGGCGTCCCACACCAGTGCCCAGCCCATACTCCAAGGGATGAGAGTCATTCCGTCTCGGTGTTTGCTATCTGTTCGCGACATGCCGCTTGGTTCAAGTATAGCGGGCACGTTAACAGTGGCTAAGGCCCGGCGAATGATGTCGTTGAGGGCTGCTGTTGATAATAACTCTTATGCCCTAGCACTACTATACCTACACTAAAATATTGTCTTTTACTAAAATAAAAATGTCTAAATAAATAAAATTCAACTGAAGAATTAACAAGAAAACGATAACGAGCGCGACAGGAATTTCTGTTGTTATTACGCTATGTCGTCGTTAGGAAAGAATCTAAGAGGAATTCTTTTATTATAAATCTGTTTTATAGAAAAATAAACAGGATGGTTATTTATATAGGCGATGATGTTGTCGAAAACAAACTTTTATCAAATTTCGTTTAAAAGAAAATATTTTTAAATTAGAAGGAAAAATATACGATTAAGTACTTACCGTAAAAAATGTACCGTGAATAACGAGCGAATCGGAAATTTTATATCGAAAAATATAAAAGTTTTAGGATCATTTATTAGAAGAAAGTTGTTTGTGTGCGGACTCTTTTTAGTTTTATAAAATCATTGACATGTATCATTGGTAACTTCTATCTGACAAGCAATCCCGGGATGCAGGTTTCTCATCTTACAAACAAGGCTATATTTTGGTCTCATCCAATAAATATATAAAATGATTACTTTTCAGGAGTGAGGTTCAAAGATTCTATAATGCTCTACTAAATACGTCACTCCTGAAAACTTATCATTTTATCGATTTTATGGATGAGACCAAAATATAGCCTTGTTTACATATTATATACATATATATTTTGGTAAGTTATAATTTGAAATATACATATGGTAAATGATCACATGATGCTTTAATAACGGACTTCAGAAAAGAGGAGGTTCTCAATTGGACTGTTGTTGTACGTATGTTATGCGATAACTATTGGTGTAACAAGGCATTTGTGAACGGATATTAATGATTCTGAAAGAGGCTCTTTGAAAGACCTCAGCAGGGGTTCCATTTCAATTTGATGTAATTATTCCACTTCTCAGGGTGGCAAGGTAGGAGATTAATCCGGTGTCGCGCAATTTCCGGTAAGCAATTTCAATAAAACCTGAAAAAAAAACATGTTATTCCACGAACTTTTTAATTCGGTTTTTTAGTACTCTGTACTGAGATTATTATATCATTTTTTTAACCGACTTCAAAAAAAGGAGGAGGTTCTCAATTCGACTGTTTGTTTTTTTTCGTGTGTATGTTACGCGATAACGCCACCATTTGTGAACCGATTTTGATGATTCTTTTTTTTGTTGCAAAGAGGGTTTCTTGAAAGTGGTCCCATTTAAATTTTAAGAAAATATTCGACCTCTAACTGGGTGGTAAACTTGGGGATGAATGACTTTTGAGGTCGGTTTTTTTAGTACTCTGTACTGAGGTTAGGTTATTATGATATCAACATATCGCACTGCTATTACAATAGTGTTGTAACTCAAAATATGTGAAATTTAATTTTATGTCATTACTGAACGTAAAATTTGATTCTTTACACGTCAAAAAAAACCGTCGTTAAAATATTGTAAGAAACAATCAAAAGATATCTCTTAACTCAAAATGAGACACACTTTATGAGCTATTTCTGACTAAATTAATCCTTATTCAACAACATGAAATTATTTTTAAATATATTTGAGAAATTGTTTAAGTGTCTGTAATAAACTATAACATATAAATTTTAATGATCTTTTTGCGGGAAGTGAGTAATTTGTTTTTAGTTAATACACTATTGTATTATTCAAAATCGGAACGGAAGTAATGTGAGAATTGTTGCTTGGCGACAGAAATAATTAAGGTCGAAAAAAGTCAGTCTGGACGAATTCTTTCACAATGAATTCTACTGCTACTAAATTAAGACAACGGCTATTATTTTAATTAGCCTAGTAGTATATGCATGGCCTTTTTAACCACTGTAAGGTAATGTCGGTCTTTGACAAATCAAACATGTTACTAATGTTCGACAAATTCGTAAATATTATAGTCGTCACCAAATAAGAAGCCAAATTTGACAGCTAAAGAGGGCGATATTATGTAACTTTGAATGCGATCAACGAAACAATAAACAAACAATTATTAGCATAATTGAGTTTAAAAAAAATACATAAATTTTATTGAAACATTATATAATATGACAAAACGTATTAGAAGCACTGTTTTCGCATTCCAAAATAAAATGAAATTTTGAGTTACCCCGGAATGTCCTGAAAACAGTTACGTCCTCAAGCTGTTGTTTTTTTAAAATAATAGTGTTGTAAGCAATTAATCACCGAATTTCACCGAGTCACTTCGATTATTCGGAAAAAATATATTTTTTTAAATATTAGAAAAAATTATGAACATTATTTGAGATTGTTTGTTGTTGACATTGACAACTTCCAACTTATTGCCAGCCGAATAATTGAAAATTTAAGAAATCCTTGGTTTCTAGGTAATTTAATCTTTTAATGTAGTTGTTTTATCGATGAACCTACTTAATTACGCCAAATTCATGTAATAAACCATTTATGAATATTATAAAATCAAAATTAAAATAATTGGATACAATTCATCGGAATGTGGGACAATTTTACGAAAATAAGAGGAATTGCTACAGAATTGCAAAGAATTCTGTAAAGGAAATAATTTTAACAGGATTGCACGATTTGGCCTTTTAAATAATGTAAACAGTCAGAAACTCTTACAATTTTGAATCGATTTCTCGTGAAAATCGTATAATGTGATTAACGATATAATTAGTCCACATCCCTATTCGCGTCACGATGACAAGTGTCAAATTTGGCCTCTTATTTGATGACGACTATAGTGTCTTAACAAAAACGAGTAGGCCAAATCGATTACGTACTTTAACGTATCTACCTACATATCAACTGCCTAGAAGTACTAACGCATACGGTATGAGGACCGCAGAGTACATAATGCCTGACATTCTAAATAAAACACCTGTGCAGGTCCATGTAGATATGTTAATGAATGTTAGGAAATGTAAACAAGAATTACAAAAGTATTACTTGGGTCTGTAAAATTGTAACAAAAGCGATGCATTCTCGCTTCGCAAAAAACCTTTAAGTCTTATTGTTCTGTGTATTTTGTATAAATAAATTTAAAAAAAGTTTCTCCGTTTAGCCTCTAAGTTTAGTGTATTAGTGCTATGGCAGAATATTAGCAAAGGCAACGTGCTTACGTGTCCTCTACAACTGAGTCTTACACCTTATATAATTAATTAATTTGCTTCTTTTTGTATTGTACACGTCAAATACTATGTACCTCTTTATTTTTTAAATTTTAATTTACGACTACATTGGCGTCTTCACTTTTCTCTCCAAAGTAACCCTCTGTATAGCAAAAATAATTCTATTGTTCAACGTAACATATCGTAAATATCAATGGGCTCTTCGCTGTAATAATATGTTTGTACCACAAACAATTATAGCATATGTCGAGGGGCAAGTGGGCCGATTGGGGTAAGTTTTCCAAATCATGTCGGATTTGCCCCTTGACACTTGCTTCGTGATTATGGTGGTGTTTGTTTTTATTTTCAAACGGAGTGGGCTTGGTACGTCATTATTCCTGCCTTTTCTAATTTACACCTGCTTGAACAAAGAAATCATAGTCGCATTCTTTATGAACGTACGTGTGGACATGTTTCTGCTAGAATAGAGTTCTAAAGATGTGCTACGTTGTATGGCCATCGGCTACAGAGTGAAATTCCCTGCTTGCAAACTTATACCCGGAACGGTATAACCTAGCGCGATAGCAAGTGTACACAACGTGTCACATTGACAGCGATTCATATTTGATTTAGTTTTGTTTTTTTCCTTTCATGGGAAAAGTAAATAGAGATTATTTAGGTGTGACTCCGTCGTCGAACTCATCGTCACTTTTAATCAAGGTGAGAAGGAAGTCTAATGCCCACTTATTGTTTTATAAAAGAAGAGTACTCGTGACAGACACCTCTAGACGACGCACTTTGGATTTAAAAAAATATGCTATGCAATTATTTACTAGATCTCAAACAAGGCAATTCCCAATCAAGGTCACCCAGAACACCCAGAAAACACCCAGAACCGATTCAGACAATTTTGATTCCTAAATTGGTGCTGGGACCCCGATGTCGTCAATTCGACATGCGACAACGTATAAACCCTATAGGCAGTGGCGGCTTTACCCTAAGACCCAGTAGGTCCGGGCGTAGGGCGGCCTATCCGGCCAAAAAATTCACTGATAACACGAAATAACTCAACCGCAGTGCACCGCCTCGTTTAACAATAATCTTCCTAAATCACTTTCGTACATTTTAGGAATAAAATATATATGTAGATATAAAGATCGAACACTCAGAAAAAATTCCTTCGATCCGGTCTTCTTGCATACCATATTTCTGAGTGTTTTTTCTGAGCGTTCGATCTTTGTATTAATAATTATAACAAACTAATTACTATTAACTAAGTAATTTCACAAAAGATAATTGAATATCAATTCAATAAAAATTTAATTAAAAATATAGATATGTTACATATCTATAAAGTCATGTATAATCACTACATCACTACGTCCGTCTGTCTGTCGGATCACGATAAACTCAAAAATCGTTAAACGAATGCTGGTACTGACTACATGGTCTGGGGCCTAGGGCAGCTAATACTGCCTATAGGTACGTCAATTTATGAAGAATTTTAATTTTAACGACAACACACGTGTTGTCGCCCATATAAATACACGGAATTAGACTCGCCGCGGTCCCGACTCGACCCGCGCTCGACACGCACCCGCTCTGTGTGTGTTCGTTAGTTGGCAAGAACGAGCAAGCTGCGGGTGGCTGCTGCTTGCTGACTGCCGTTGCATGCACGCAAAAAAGAATCTTAATGTGATACGGCGTCAACTTTGCTACAGTACGTCAGATTGTTTTAAATTACAACACACACCTACGTAAGTACTATGTATCAATATGGAACAAATTTTTCAACCCTACTACACAATAGGAACCAAATTAGACAAAAAAAAAAGAAAGATACTCCAAAATGTCTATTTGTAAGTAAAGGGAAACAAGACAGGTACAAACAGGCTCGGACAGGTGTGGGAAGCGCGCATATGCGACGGCCCTTAATTGCGACTTGACATAACATGTGGCGGCTGACGTTGACAATGTTTGTTGGCAATTATGGAGTTTGACTTATCGGACTTCTATGTGGTTTTGGAAATACTTTTTTGAAGTATATAATAGGGATGCATATTACAACTCAATTTTTATGAAGTGAATACGATCCAGCAATTTCTGGAATCGATTCATTTCAATGCGATTTTTAAGTGAATCGATTCAACATTAAGGCGAATCACATCGTCTAAATCGTATTCATAATTTAAACGTCTTATTAATGTGTTATGGTCAGTGGGAAATAGGTATTGATAATTTTTTTTATAATATCAAGTGACGGGACCAATATGCAAAATATGCCAGTGTGTCGTAGAAACATAGGATAATACCACGAACTTGCTAATCACATGAACAGACACCATTCTTTGATTTCGTCAAGTACAGAAACGGAAAGTCATTACTTTCCAGGGCCAGATTTCAAACCAGATGTTGCATAATTGTAACTTATTATATCACCTTATGTTTAAATTTTCTTAACGCAATTAAAATATTGCTTTGTTTTAAAAATTAACAATAGACAACAGTTTGCTGAACACTAGCGATGCCCGATTTTTCCTATGAATCGATATGCCTCTGAATCGTTTGCTTTTGAATCGATCTCATAAAAATCGTTTCAAAATTTGTATTTCTTATAAATAAAACACCATTGCCGTAATAATATGTAAAAATATTTTTATTATTCAGAGATGCCAATTTTCATCTAAACTTTTCTTAAAAATAATATCACGTTCACAGCATTGTCCTCGCCTGAGAGGAAACCCGTGCATTGGGCCGTATAAAGTGGGTTTATTGGGATGGTATTGGTTGAATAAACCACTAAACCTCATATCTACGAGTATTTAGAATTGCAACTTTTCAAAAATTCTTTTCATTATTTTCATCTAGTTTTAACTTTACGGTTACTATACATAATCTCTAGATTGTAGGTGATGATATAATTATTAAGTTTTGTATTAAAATAAACAACCTCAAAAGTTTTATTGAAATCGGTTTCCGTAAAGTGAACGAAACCGGATTCATCCCCTAGTTTGTCACCCTTAGAGATGGAATATTTTCATCAAATTTAAATGGGACCTATACCGAGGTACCTTAATTCCAACAAAAAAAAAAGAATCATCAGAATACGGAGTTACACAAAAAAAAGCAGTCTAATCAAAAAACTTTTCCTTTATCATCCACTTCTAAGAGTGGCTTTTCACGCATGAAGATTCATTTTTATAAATAGCGCCTAAATTTTATTCTAAGTACGAAATATTTTAATAGTTGAGTTTGTGCTATTCTCTTATTCAAGGCGTATTTCTCTCTCAATATATTTTGAGCAGTGAGAACCGATTTTTATCATCTCCTGTGTCAAGTCCCGTGTAGCGGCGAACTAGGGGATGAATCCGGGTTTGCGCACTTTCCGGTAACCGATTTCAAAAAATCTTGGCAAATAGATGTAACTCCACGTATTTTTGAGGTCGGTTTTTAGTACTCTGTACTGATATTATTTGACGTAAATTTTAAAATTAACAAAGTTTATTTTAGTTTATATAAACAACACACACGTCCGATACTCACTCGATATTAAAGTCGACTGAAAACCAGCGTCACAGGCAAATCTCGGCTGTGGCATTTGTTTGTTTTGTGTTGACTATTAAGAATTTGATATGTTTGATTAGTTGTACTTTTTTTTATTTTGCTTTGTATTTTTTATTCATTCCTTCTGTGTATTTTTATGTTGTGGAGTTGCAGTAAATGGTTTATGTTGTAGTCTATTCTAAATCAATACAGTGACGAAAGGTGTAGAATGTTAAAATAAGCGCACAAAATCATAAATTCACATTCGAATAAAAAACCTTCGCACCAGCCAAAAAAATATCGCCGAGCAAGCGCATTCGATTTTGAGCTGAAGTTTAATTGCACCAGTCGTTATTTAATGGTCGTTTATTTCATTATATAACCGTTCAATCAAAACACACTGCAGTGATGAAATCAAGCATTGAATCGCACCAATTTAGATACACGGACATGTTTCGCGGTTGCTTTGTACACCATCTACCAACGTTTAAAAACATTTCCACTATTTTTTACATTTGTATCATACTACAATTTCAGAGATACCACATTGATATCTCTGAAATTGTCATATTTACAACCTAATTTACTTACCTGTAGTAGTCGTCTTTACAGTAAATATTCCCATCGCGCGAGAAGCAGGAGAACTCCGTGTCCAACGGCATACGACACTCGCAGCATCGCAAGCAGGTGCCGTGCCACTGTCGGTCCAGAGCCAGGAGATAAAACCTGACTCAAAGTTTGTAATCAGTTTTCATGTCAACCTCATGTGAACCGATCGGAACGATAGTACGAAAATACATATGTCTCAAGTGACTTATTATAAGTGACTTATAGTATATATATATATATATATATATATATAACTATGCACAACATTGAAGATAGTAACGTAGATACAAATTTGAAAAAAATCGAAGCATCAGAATCATCAGAACATTCTGAAACTTTATATAAATACATAATATTATTTCGTGACAATTGCAACTATTTTTACGTAAGAATCTTTCCCGATACCGACGATATGGCCAATAATAACGTTTTCGTTTAGTAAATGTCTAATTATTCACTCTAGTCTTGAGGCCCTAAATTGTAGCTTTCGGAAACACAGATGCCGGCAGTCTATAACTATACCATACGGATCAGGAAGGATGAAACAAATGGCTTTGCACGAAAATGTAGTATAGTCAATGACATAAGCATGTAGTATTCTGGATTGCTAAATCGACCGAAGATGGAATATTGATGTCAAATGATCTGAAATGGCAAAAGTACGCTAACTTAGTGCCCAATAGTAATTCAGCGGACGTCACCATCGCGTTTCCAAGAATTGGTTCGTCTGTCTTAGAAAGTTGCCAAAAATGGAAAGATGACTGAATTTTCTACGAAATGATCCTGAGTCATTCTACTTTTACGACCCAGCAGTCGAAGTACCCAATACATCTGTGATACATTTGTGGCATGGCCTTAGTTAGTGTAAAAGAGAAGGCTTGGTCCACACAAATTTATTAGAAGAGGAAAAGGAATGCTGTAAAACAATAATGCAATGACATAAAAAAGTTATAATAATATTACAAAGTATCTTTATATGCGTATAAATATATCTAATACTCTAAAACCAGTTTAAGTGGAGTTGGAGTTTTACATGATGAAAAATAAACACGTCTTCTCGCTTCAAGAATTTTGATGAGAGTGATGAATAATGAAGGAAGGAAAAGGAATTGGGAATGATTCAAAATTTTGAGTTCAAAAACGCTGCAAAATTTTAAAAGTAAGTGGCCAGGAACCAGTAACGAGGTTGATAAAAAGGTGGGACGACGATGAAGGAGGTCGTAACGTCACACATTTATTCATTAAGAATAACCTGAATCAGCCGACCGGGTCCAATCTCATTAGGATGCACCACAGGTCTAAGTTTCCAACAGGATTCAACCGTCTGGAGCGAATTGCGGAAATTTTGGCCGGGCAGTTAAAATAACAAAACTGCAGTGGAGAAGCAAAGTCGACCTCACCTGTCATGGATTCTGCCCCCGCACCCCGCACATTCGTCGGGCGCGGGCGACCCCTCCGAGCTATCCCGCTCCTTCAACATGCTTCCCGACTCTCAAATAACAAGGTTGTTTTCTCCCTGCACCTGCGACTCTACGCTGGGGCCTGCCATCACTGTTTTTGCGCGAGAATGCTCCGGCGAACCTACTGGAAACATTTAAAAATTAATAATGTTCAAAAATTAAGTTCAGTTTGGGATCCAGTATATCCTCTAATGAAAAATCCCAAACAGACATAAGACTGCCGTACTAATCAATATGTTTTAGGTTATTCTAATTTCTATTATTAATTAATAATAAATTGAACTTAATAAAAATTCATTCAATAAAATAATTTGTAAAACTTAATGTAGCGTAAATTGGAATGTTTCTTTGTAAAATTAAAAATGAGGTATTTAATTAATAACTATTGTAACTATAGTGAAAAATTAGGGTGGCTTGCATCAATATTAGACATAACTGGTTGAAGACTGTACCACCTCAGTCAACAGTGACCATAGGACCTGTAAAAGGCCCGAAACGTCGGTTTGTTTGAAAAAACAAATATACGCGATTTAAATCCGGAAAAATAGTTTCATTTCCTATGTGTAACAATCGCGAAAACCTAAGAACTCGATAACCTTAGAAAAAATTTTGAAATTATTTCATAACCATAATACAGGTTATTAACATTTACATTATTACGTCTATTATTTATTTAAATGTGAACAGTGGTGTAGTAAAATAAGCTGCACGTAAGTTTTAGACGAACCGAGGCAAAATCGGAATTTAAACAGGTGCTATTTCAGAATTTAACGCAATTTGATGTCGGTACACCACATTTTAAGCCTCGCGAAACAAACGCTAGCGCCAAAAGAGCACTTGAATAAAGCTGCTTGTAATTAAAACAAACCATAAATAGACATTTTCTGGAAGAGAGAATTACGTAAATAACTGTAGTTGCCTACTACAAATCCAACCAATTTACAGCTGATAATTATCCACATGAAAAGAAAACTATTTGGTCTTATGAATAATGACAAAATCTTTACTTTTAATAGTATTCTTAAAGTACAGATAAATGAAACAACAGATCAAAACTGTAAGGATATCATCGCACTCATCGATCGCATCATGCTGGCCATAACAAGGTTTTTGAAGCGAAACCTAGCAAAACCTTTTCTGTTTTACGCATGGATTTACAAGATTTTTCTCACCGGTCTAATACGATTCTGCGTTGTCAAGTGATTGTTGTTTATGATTAATGAGTGGTGATTATCTAAGAGAAACTCGTTATAATGTGAATATATAACCGCTCACGCGATACATGCAGCCGTAGACGCATACCACACCTAGAGGTGCCGGTGATGATTTTATACCGATTTATCGGATATCGAAGTTATAACAGGTAAAAGAACTAATATTAATTGCTATTTCGGTAACTACTCTAGCAAACCATATAGTTTTTAACGCCCGGGTCTGTCATTTAAAACAAATAAACAACTTCAAAAATATGTCACGACAATCGTGAGTGTTATTGTTTGGGCTGGTGATTTCGGTGTTTATTTATTGAAAACATACCGTAAGTAGTGTTTTTTAAGTTTACCCTGAATATAAATGTTTATAAACTATACTCTAAGGAGTAATTTCATGGTAAACGTTAGAACCACTCAAACGGAATATTATCATATTTATCTAAGTACACCAAAAATTTCATTAGTGTTTTTTTTTAGTGCAGGATTTGCGTTGTACTACAGAATTTTATTTGTGATGTTTTTGTTGGTAGTACGGAGGGTATTTATTTAGCAATGCAGAATAATAAATTTTATTTATAAAAACTTGTATTTAAACTGAATGCTTTTCTAATTTGCGAAACCAAATAGCAGCCATTTTGCGGTAGGAGGAGCGCGTCGCGTGAGCGGTTAGATGGTGAAATTACAGAACTTATATCTCAGAATGACGGGCGCAGTGGCAATGCCCCTCAGATCTTTGCGAATTAAAGCTCTGTCAATGTAACTGTTATGGACAGGCATAGATTACCATCAGGCGCACGACTTGTTCGTCCCGTCACTTGATATTATAAAAAAAAATATAAGTGCTGTGTGCATATGTCTAGAACTGATATACATATTGTGTGCTTTTAAATGTATTTTACAGGTGAAATAGAAATATTTGTTCCAAAGAGAAACATGTAAAAAGAAAAAATAAAAAACAATTAGATGGTACGTATACATATATCACTTATACAAGAAACAAATAACAATGATAAAGTATGCGTGCTGTGCTGTTACGGAATCCGTCAACCACTCAGCTTGGTGTTGTCCCACTGCAAGTGCTACGACTGATTTTCGGTGGATCCGGTAATAGAGAACACATGACACGGAACTTGGTATACACGGTAATGCAATTTAATGTAATTGTAGTTAAAAGTGTAATGTAAATAATAGAGTAATCGTTAATAAAAGTGCAATTGTGGATAATTGGGTAATTGTAAATAGTGCAATTGTAAATAATATAATAATTGTAAATAATAACATGGTAACGTGAATATCACACTTATTTTTAATTTAACTGTATTTGATTTGTTTTCTTTTCTGGGGCACAATAAATAATTTTTTTATTGTATTGTATTGATGTTTTACTACCGTGATCAATGATATTAGAACAAAGGCAAAATCATATTTAAAAAAATTCGTTAGCGTCTTCAAATGTCTTAATTACAAGTTTGAATAAAATAAATTTATTAGGTTTTTCGACTTATAATAACGGTCTATTTAATTCTGGAAATAAAACCATATTTAAAAGAAACTCTAATGACTAACGCGACATCTAGCCGCCAAAAAAGAAATTTCAGTACACTGAAATTTCTTTTCCTTTTCCTAACTAAAGCTATGTATGGGTCCACATTTACTTCACGTACAAAAAATAAAGTCGATAATTTCTTCTCCAAAAAGCCACGCGAGAAAATGGTAAAACTGACAACAAAGCTAATAAAATCAGGGATAGATGGCACGTATCACAAAAAAATAATTTGTGTCCGAGTTACCAGTGCAATAGTTTATGGTATGTTATTAATTAACTTAGTTTTTTTGTTATAGCTTTACTTCATGCCTTTTCGCCATACCAGTTTACAAAATAATTTCCTCTGACTTTCGTCACGTCACAATCCCACAGCAATTCATTTTCTATTAACTCTGTTTAAGGCTTCTGTAGTTTATTTTGATATAATAATACATCTTATTCAATTATGTAACACATAACCTCCAAAATTTCAAACTGGAATATCTTTAATTACTGACTTTCTCAGTGACAGTAAACCCAAAACAAAATTTGTCAAGAATTTCAACTCTATATTTTCACATATTTTTCGTAAACAGACGCATACAAATTATGTCAACAAAAATTTATATGGGAGTTTGCTATTGTAATTTTTTTGTGAAATTACTCCACTAGTTTGTTAGTTATTAATACAAAGATCAAACACAGAAAAATTCACTCGATTCTGCTGGATTCGACCAACGTCTTTAGCATACCAGGCCGACGCTTTCCCAACAAAGCTACGGAACGAAACAAGCGAATTTTATTATGTGCTTGATGCAGATCTTTGATTTTAGGTTTTTACGACTTTTTGCCGTACCGCCATCTGTGAGAAATCAATGAAAGTATTTCTTCAGTCAGTCAGGTACCTTTACAGCTACCAGCGGCTGACTAGAGCACACACAATAACTTTCGTTAGATCTGCTGGTTCGTGACGTAGCTTAGTTGGGAAAACTACGACCTGGTATGCTGAAGATGCTGGTTCGAATATTGTAGTAAGTTAGATATTCAATTAAAATTAGTAATAAAGTGCCCACATCACCGACACTTTAGCAGCGACGCTAGAGATTGCTGGATATTACACAAATACGCCTTGTGTAATTTTATACCGACTTCAAAAAAAGGATGAGGTTCCTAATTCGACTGTATGTTTTTTTGTTTCTTTTTTCTATGTATATTACACAATAACTCCGTAATATATATAATAAATAATTTGTGAACCGATTTTCATGATTGTTTTTTTTTTGTTGGAAAGAGGGTGCCTCAGTGGTGGTCCCATTGAAATTTGAAGAACATGTTCCACCTCTAAGGGTGGCAAACTAGGGGATGACAGACTTTTGAAATCGGTTTTTTAATACTCTGTACCGAGGTTATTAAAAGTAAAACATGGCGGAGTGACAGAACTGTCTGAAACTATATACACATTTCAAAACAACGTGAGGCCTAATGTTAACTATAAGTCATGCCTGTTTACTTATGTATGCAAGAATCTCCAGACTTATGAGGCTCGGAGACAAAGGCTTAACGTTTTGTTTTGTTTTGCATCGAGTCGTATATTTTTATTTCATAGACTACAGGGGACAGGTACTGCGGTTTGCGTAGAAGATTCTTTTTGCATTAAGATATGAAAAAGTTCAACAAACTGAGTATTTATCATTGATATGCTTGTATGATTATATCATTTATAACAAAATCGTTATAATGTGACTGTTGTGTCCCATAAATATAATCGCACTGTATTAACTCAAAAAGTGTATTTTTCTGAATCGATGAAAAAAAGATAACTCACTCCCCGTGAAAGAATGTGTTAAACAATGTATTAGGGTCCCACCACAATGTTTATTTTAATTCATTTGTAGTGAGAGTACCAACTCGACATCTGTCGACCTTGACGACTCATGAAGGATGAGTTTTGGCCGAAGGGTGTCATGTAGTGTGTAATGTCATATAGGACACCCACGTTGCGTTACACGTCGCAGTTATTTTCTGTACTGATTAAACTTTATTAAAGACATGACACGCATTCACACTTGTCGAATTCGGATCATAATTAAAAATGACGTAAAGTTAGAAGGTTTACAAAAGTTAGTAAACCAACGACAGTGACCACGGCGGCATCTTTTAATTGTTTGTTACAATATTCTAACGACTGCGTGACCATGGGACCTGTAAACAGCCCAAAACGTTGGTTTGTTTGAAGAAAAAAATATACGCGATCTAAATGCGGATAGTTTCATTTCCTATTTATGTATTCTAATTATTAATACAAATATCAAACACTAACAAAAGTTCCTTCAACCCGGCTGAATTCGAACCAGCGAGCGCCTTCAGCATACCGTACTTGTCCCA